CTGGACATCCTCCCTCCTTGTCCCTCAGACAACTAGTATTAAAGGTAACCTGCCTCTGAATACTCAGTCAATTCCTTTGAAGAACCTCAAATTCTAGTGTTGTGAGACTGGGAGAGAATTTTCTGTCCAATTTATCCAAACCACATACAATACTATTATCTCTACCAAATCCTGCCCCCTGCCTGGTTGCCTTCATTGTGGCTGGTTGATATTAAACGAAAACAAATCAACCAAGTCTATTATTTCTGTTCCTTGTAGCTCTTGTAGACTGTAGCTTACAAAAGCGTATGCCAGCATATATTCATTTGTTTCTAACAACTTTTAAAGCAATTTAAATTGTGGAATCCGATGCACAATTACATAGGATAGGAGAAATCCCATAGAACAGAGTGGGGCTTAGTTCTGAGTAAAAATGCATGGAATGTATTGTCAAGTACTAAATAAAATAATATTACATCACATTTGCCCAGACACTATATAGCACTGAAGGCTTCAGCTGATGGTCAGAGGAAAGCAGGTTTGCCACATGCTTTCACTTTCCATTTGTAGCAGTTGTATCCATGGAAGCTGCTAAAAATAGAATATATTTCTTATTTCTATGTCATAAACAATCTCTCTAGTTACATAGGTTTAGGCTGATTAATAGATACACGTGGTAAGAAGCTGAGATCATTATGACTAATCTATTGTGTCATACATTTCACAACATGATGACAAGAGCTTAGAAACAACAAACTCTCTCTGTATGTCACTCCCTTCGAAGTCAGCTCTGAACATTCCTTACATTAGGTTTTCTCCTATATAATTATTGATCTTAGCTTGATCCAAACTATGACAACCACCTATGAAATCTGGATACTACGGATATTCAGTTCCCAAAACCAACATCCTGTCGAAATCCATGTTTCCCGGGGAAATTGTCTATCAAAATTGTAAACGGGAGCTTGGCTTTCAGATGGAGACACAACAGTTTTCTTGTTTGATATTAATATTTCAGCATAGATGGGTGTCCTGTCTATAACCAAGGTACAATTCAGCCCCTTGCTGAACAGCATTACTTTAATCTGCATATGTATGGCAGTATACTAAATATTGAAACCTTTGGAAGGAATTTCACATCGTCTCTGTTCTATGGCAGCTGGGAACCAGGACATTGTCCTTACATTATTTACTTTAGGCATCAGCTTAATATATATGTCTTCTCAGGCCTATGGTATTGGAGCTAACCTTTTAGAAAACATACAGATTCAGGGCTAGTCTGAATTGTAATTGAATTTGCTTCTGTTTGGTTCAGTGCTGAGGCCACAAGTATTTGCCTTCTGCTCCTCGGTTTGGATTGCATACAGTGACCAAAACCAACTAGCTTTCTCTGAAGCAACAGCTGGGATGTCTCAGATGATGCCTTGCTGTGGTTTCTGCTTCACGTTGCCCTTGCAGTTCAGATTTTCACAGCTGCACGAAATGTGAAGGTATTAAAAAAAAGAATTAAAAAAAAACCAATTGCATGGAAGAACACCTGCTACTTCTACCTTTTTAAAGTTAAAATAACTAGAAGAATGGAATTTGTTCAGTCAAAGCAGGGACAATGGCTGGGATGAGTGAAGACAATGAACTATATTGGTGTGGGATGAGACAGAAAACTGCACAGCACAGAAATTCCATGGGTGTGTGTTTGTGCAGTGCTTTATTACACAGCACCAGAGCTTTCTCTTGCTCTAGGTTTTTTAGGGTGTGACATTAGAATACCATTGTAGTGACTAGTAGGGACTGACTCAGAGCTTTAATTATAGCAGTGGCAGGAAGTCGGACAGGAAAGGGGTTCTCTAGGCAAGGTGTAGTTCTACTAATCTATGTAATATACTTTCTGGCAGCAGCATTCTACTCCAGAGCTATGGTAAAGATCAAATTCCAAAGCTCTTTTCATTGGTCACCTGGAAAACTGGCTTTTTGATGTTTGGCTGTGTGCATATTAAGAGACAAGGATTGTAAACTGTTATAAATACGCATGTTATTTATAGGATATCCTATGACAAAAGGTTACCTAGGGAACTTGCAAAATAAAAACAAAGTTTTAAAAATGCAAGATGCAACACAGCATTCAAACAACACCAAATATGATTTAAATATATATATATATCAGTAGTGATACAATTAAAAGCTACAACATGAATTAAAAGGCTTGGGAAAATGAAAACGTATTTACCAGGTGCCAAAAAGCCTTTAATATAGGTGTAAAGTGGGCCCTACAGTACATATAGCCAGATCCACAATGATAGTGTTATTTGTGCCTTGGCATGGTCTAGCATTCATATATGTGTACAGACAGCTACATAAAGAAACATAACTTCTGAACAGAACCTAAGGATTTGCATTCTTATGTATCCTTACTTGATACTGTCATTACTTAACTGTTTGGCTGATTTAATTGCTCTATTTTTAAAAATAACTTTGATTTTTTTTTTGAACAATCAAGCAGTACATAAATTGCATAAAAATAAAAATATGAAGCCCCATTGAACTCAGGGGATTCAATGTAAATTTTCAGACAAGTAGGCTTTTGAACACTAGATTTTTCCTTATAAATTGGAGACTTGAACACAGTACATCATTAAGGATATTCAGTATGTGGGAATAGACACCTTCCTTTTAAAGACAGAGGGCACTTCCTTAGTCTAAGTCATTTAGATTGCTGCATACACATATATTTCTAATAGCTTTTGTATGCAGGTGAAGGCACAATTGACTGAGCAGCATGAGCACAGTGAATCACCCTGAGTTACAGCAGGCAATTAGCAATTTCTGCCGAACTGTAATAGAGGCTCACACACTGAGCAGCATTGCATTCTGGGAGTTGTTAGCTCTGCAATCAGCATTCCAAAACAGTGAGGCAGATATTTATTTAAAGCATTTTAATCCTGTTTCTCAGCCAAAAAAGTCTTCTGGAGAAGTTTACAAACTGAACCGACTAACCAAACAAACAAAAACTGTTGGGAGTGGGATCTGCTTCCTATTATTGTTCCCTCTGATGCCGTCTGGTAGCCTGGTGAAAGCCAAAGGCAGCTGATCTTTCAGTAGAGCTGATGAGATGGCGATTCTAAAATAGCATCAATCAGCTTGAACCTGTACGCCGAGAGCAGGTTGTGGTGGCCTTTTTGAAAGACCCAACCCACACTTCTCCATGCATGATGTCACACACATGCTGTTCCACTGAGTCCCACAAATCTTCGGCCCAAGGCAGCGCCTCTGATTCTGCCTAAACCCTCTGGAGCTTCCTGGGTTCTAATCCCCTGGTTAGGAGGTTTTTCAGTTCATGAGTTAGTTCCTGAAAATCTTTAAGCATTTGATAATGAGTTCAACTGCTGTATGAAGCGCTATTCCCTTCAACATTAATGAGGAGGGCAATTTCCACTCTTACCAGCGATAACGTCTTTGGGTCATGCTACCACTTCTCTGTTAGTAAATAAATTCAGGTAAAACTGGGGAACAGCCAAGCCAACTTCTTAAATGTAACTTCAAAATGCAGTTAAATTGAGAATCCGCTACTGCGTGTGGTGCCATTTGTTGTATGGAAATAGAAAACAAACACACACACACATTTTATTATTATTTATTCATTTTCTTACATTTCTATCCCAATTTTCCCCCTCATGGAAGCCAAGATAACGTACTTGTGGTTCCTGCACCCATCAGTGCTTTAACTAGACCCAGACCTGTTTAGTTTTGGCAAGGTAGTGGCAACCTGTGCCATCCTTTAAACAATATCCTGAAACCAGATATTATTTATTTATTAATTAATATCTATACTGTTTTATATTTTTAAGAAAAATCTTTACAGCATATTAAACCAATAAAACATAAATAAAACAATCTGAAGAAAGTCAAATATAGAGCATACAGTCAAAGCAACACAACAGAAAACTAAAATATTATCTTAAAGATTTCAAAATAAAACATTGCGAAGGTCAACTACACAATACTTACATATCATAGTAGGGCTGGTGAGTGTGGGCCCCACCCCCTAGACCAGGTGGAAAGGGCCTTGTAGGGAGCAGCCTTCACGCCCCACAGCTGGGCGATGTTCCTCCGGCCTCATGAGGAGCCTCTTCAGTAGGGCTGATGAGTGTGGGCCTCGCCCCCTAGGCCAGGTGGAAAGGGCCTTGCAGGGAGCGGCCTTCACATCTCACAGCCGGGCAATTTTCAATAGGCCCGTCACTAAGTTCATATTGAAATGTAGCTGATGGTGTGTACCCTCAGCAAGTAGAGTACAGTGGTACCTCGGGTTAAGTACTTAATTCATTCCAGAGGTCCGTTCTTAATCTGAAACTGTTATTAACCAGAAGCACCATTTTAGCTAATGGGGCCTCCTGCTGCCGCCGCGCTGACGGAGCCCGATTTCTGTTTTCACCCTGAGGTAAAGTTCTTAATCCGAGGTAATATTTCTGGGTTAGCGGAGTCTGTAACCTGAAGCGTATGTAATCCGAGGTACCGCTGTAGTTTAGGTTTTACAGGAACACAGGGCCGTAGCTAGGGGGTGGCGAGGAAGGCTCCCGCTGGGGGCGCAGGCAAGGGGGGGGCGCAAAATCAGCTTTTAAAATGTCCATAAATATGTCTATAAATAAAAATATTGATTATTGCCTCATAAGAATTGAATGGGTGGTGGTGGGGTTGGAAGAGAGGCAGAAAGAAGAGCTAATTTGTCTGTGGCTAGGGGGCGCAATCTGGACAGTTCTGCCAGGGGTGCAAGATCACCCAGCTATGGCGCTGCTTAGATGCCCCCTTTCTCTATCTTTTTTTTGGGGATAGGTTACAAAGGCAGGAACCGTATGGTTTGACTGCTTCCTACAACTTCCTCTCAGCTGACCATCTCCAGACTGCAATTCTCTTTCTCCAACACCGTCCCTATGGAAGGTAGCAAGTGGGTTATCTGCATACTCATCCACAATCGAAAGCCTTGGATCTGAAGGGGTTAGGTTACTTAATAATGAAATAATAATAATACATTGGCCTTACATTCAAACAAACCCAAACGAAAATTCAGATGACTATGTTTAAAAATGTGTAGGGAGCCTGTGAAGATCAGTGCTCAACCAGGAAGGGTGAACTGATCACCCTTTTCTCACTCCTGGACTGCTTTTCCACCTTTCATGTTGACATCATCTGATTCTGATTCTAATATTCTCCTAGCCCCTTCCTCACATTCTGCAAGGTTACCGTAGAAACAGCGAGAAACAACTTTGCATCATCGCTATTCCGTTGCCCACTTCTTACCGGACGCTCGACCAGTAAGCAGTGCAAGGAGTGCTCTCAGCTTACCCTGTTTGTGTTACTTCAGCATTCCTATCAACATGGCAGGTAGGAAATTCTGCCATCGTGATGTTCACATGTTCTGCTTCATTGTCCCATGAAGCAGACATGGAAGCCAGCTGAGAAGGTAAGGGTTTATAGCTGGGGAATGGATTAAATCATTAGAGACGGTAACATACATGCAAGTGGATGCTATGATAGACAGCAAAAGAAAAGGGAGAAAGGGAGATGCCCTTAAAAAGCTACCCCAGTTAGTCAAGGTCCCAGTACCCCGCATGGGGTTTAGATAAGACATGACTAAGGCCCATTCAATGGCCTTCAATGGGACTTAGTCTTGAATATATCTTTCACTAGATATGCCAATAAAGTCTGAGGCTCCTTCAAAATCGCATATTTATTTTCGGTACTACTGTCAATCTACATTGCACTTGTCCAAAGCAGCTTACAAACCAAGAGTTTCCAGGCAGCAACAACACAAAACATCAGTTTGGGAGGAAAAGCAGTAGATAAATAAGTAAATATCCATGAATGATCCACATTGATCCAGAACCAAAAGCACTTTGGTTAGATCAGGCTTCCTCAACCTCGGCCCTCCAGATGTTTTTGGCCTACAACTCCCATGATCTCTAGCTAGCAGGGCCAGCGGTCAGGGATCATGGGAATTGTAGCCTCAAAACATCTGGAGGGCCGAGGTTGAGGAAGCCCGAGTTAGATTCTGTTCTCATGTGAGAGCCCAAAATAGGAATTGTTCTTTAGATGAATGATGGTCTTTGTTTCTGTTGTAACCCCTATCTCACTGAATTATAGAAACAGGTAAGCATAACAGGTGTAAGATTTAGCCGGTGCCTGTGACTTCACTAGGTATCCAGATTAACCTAGTCAAATTTGGGGGGTACCAACCAGGGGAGGAGTGTATCGTAGGGCTTGTTGTGACTCAAACTTATCATAACCTCAGTTACTCTTCTCGTAATGGATGTCTTTTCTATCCTGGCACCTTCAGTTAAGGCCAACTGCCCATCACTGCATCATAACATTCTCTGGACAGTTAGAATCTTGGAGGTCACTGTGGTGACAGCAGGAAACGGGTTCACATGACCCCAGCTCCAGGGGCTCCCGCTATGGATGCTGACTATGGAGCAGGGTGCATTTGAGGGCCCCTTGTGGGTATCACCCTCATGTTTTCCCTGAAAAGAAGGGGAATAACAGAGCATCTTGAAAGACAGAATCTGCTATGGCAACAGCAACAGGGCAGGGCGATTCATCCACGGAAGAGAGAGGGAGAAGATGGGAGAAAGATTATTTCTCAATGGGATCATAAGCAACTGGCTATCAGGGCGTAACAGAATACAGTGGTACCTCGGGTTAAGTACTTAATTCGTTCCGGAGGTCGGTTCTTAACCTGAAACTGTTCTTAACCTGAAGCACCACTTTAGCTAATGGGGCCTCCTGCTGCTGCCGTGCCACCAGAGCACAATTTCTGTTCTCATCCTGAAGCAAAGTTCTTAACCTGAAGCACTATTTCTGGGTTAGTGGAGTCTGTAACCTGAAGCGTATGTAACCTGAAGCATATGTAACCTGAGGTACCACTGTAACAGGAAGATGTCAAGGCAGCAAAAGAAGGCCAACCATTAGGATCTTCCACAACCCTTTTCAAAGATCCAGTCGTTTAGAACCTCCAGCAACAGGAGCTGGGGAAAAGACATCTCTCCTTGCCACTGCACAGGGACTTGGCAATGGCCACACCTATGAATCAATTATATAGACCACCTCACCTCCAGCTGGTCCAGGTGCAGCCTCCTGGGCTTGGACCCATCCAGTCCTGGCCTCTCTACCTCAAAACAGGTCTTTGAAACCTGGAAAAGGTGGAAAAAAGTAAAACCTAAATTATCAAGGGGTTGGAGTAACTCCCTTATGTGGAAAGGTTGGGGCCTTTTAGTTTCAAAGGAAGAATGCTCTCTGTCAGCCCTGGTAGTTGTATTAATTCTAGAACAATTAAAAAGCAAACTAATCAATGTCCTCTCTCATACAGGAGTGGTTGCAAACAGAAATGAACAAGATTCAGGCCTCTTTGCAGAGAATAGACATTTATGCACCTCTGACTGTATCACAGCAGGCAAAATACTGTGTACAGAATTGGAACAGTTCTCCAGGGTCTCAGGATTGCAAGTTACTTTTAAGAAAGCAGAGGTAATGTTTTCCATACACCAACCTATCCAACAGACTTTATAGCAATGTTGAAGATTCCAATAGCCAGGAAAAGTTTTAGATATCTGGGGATACAAATTACCCAAAATTTGAACAAGTTGTATCAGTTTAATTATAGTGTGGTTTGGAAAGCTCTAAATAGGGATATAATACATTGGAATAAATTAAGACTCTTCATTATGGACAAACCAGTTGCATTTAAAATAACGATTGTACCTCCATTTCTTTTCTTCCAGACTTGGGTGAACGCGTGAGATGGAGGAGGACCCTGGAACCTATCCCTGAGGGTTTCAGAAAAAGCCAGCCTGCCTGTGGGAAGGAAGATAGGGGAGACCTGGCCATAAAAGGGATAGGCATACCTAGCCCCCCAAAAAGAACCCCCCAAAGAGAAAATAATACAAGGCCAAAACTGAAGCCAAAAAGGTGGAGAAAGGGGGCAGCCGAGGGAACAAAATAACCCTTGAGGAAAGGCCTAAAAAACACACTGAAAGCTTCTTTCAGCTGGTGCCCCCTCCCTAGCCCCCCTCCCGGCCAAAGCCATCAGCCCGATTTGGGTGGAGGCTGGCACCCCTTTCCTTTCCCACCCATGTGGATTACCCCAAGCCGTCAGCAGGACCATTTGGCTCGCATCCACATAGGTGGGCAACCATTTATCACCTTTCCCTCCCTACCCACTGGAGACCCCTGCCCAGCATTGCTGGCAGGGGTCTCACCCTACCTGACCCGCCACCCTTGCCCACCCCCAACCCTCCATATTGCCAGACACCCAGCCCTCTGAAGTAACACCTCCAGCCCCATCCCATCCAACCCCAGCCCATCAGGGGATTAAATACATACGAAGCCTCTGGAAAATATGAAACATCAAGTCAGGGGATTCCCTCCATTGACCAAGGTGAATTTGTGCCCGCTCACCACCTTCCCCCCACCTCCAAAACCTTCTGGCAGCGAAACAGGAGAATACTGACAACTAAATAAGAATCCCATCCACTCAGAACTCCTGTTTCCTGTCTTAACTCTCTCTGCCACTGACCTCATGGGCAAAATACACATGGATTGATACTAGTACAATTGCTGACTAGACATAGGAGCCATGCTTTCTACCTTGAGTGAAAGCCATCTAAACCCAAGTAAAACTTGCTAGAGGTAAAGCAGGAGCACCCAGAGATACCTTGGGAACTGGAGGAGGCAGTGCCCCCTTGGTTATGGGGTACCACTCAGTGGCGTAGCTAGAGGGGTGTGGGAGGGATGGATTGCCCCAGGCAGCTCTGGGCCTGCAGGGCGCCCGAGCTGCCGCATCCGTCCCAGGCGCCCCCCCCCCAGCTGGTGGACACTCGGGGGATGTGATGCCTCAAGTGCCCTACAGGCCCAGCGCTACCTGATTTGGGGGGCGGGGGGTGAGAAGGTGTTTTGTTTCATTTTTACAGTTCTCTCGATTTTTACTGCATTCTAAAAGATTGCCAAACGGATATGCCCACCCTGAACCCATGTTCGGTGCCATCATCTGGGAAGGAAGGGGCTATGCTGGCCCGTACAAAACTGGAAATGACTCTTCGAAGATCATTTAATCATTTACTGCGATTGTCTGACTTTGTACTAGAAATCATTTAATTTGTATCTGTAACTGGATTCTGTTACGTATGTTTACGATTTCAAGAATTAATGTCTCTCTGCAAGGAATGAGTGTGGATCTTTTGATTTATTAGATGGATTGAAATATGGATTTTATCTGCCATGTGACGATGCCCTGAATGTTTCAGTTGAGAATCTGAAATGCTGCTATATGTGATGTGTATATTTCTTGCCATCTACTGGCAGAAATGCACTTCTTCATGCCCTTAAAATATGTGCTGCAATATTTTTTCTGTGGCATGGAAGCATTTCTAAAGATGTTAGAGTCAAAGCAAAACAACCAAACCAATTTATATTTTAAGAAGCAATGCAACAAAGTAAGATGCTGAATTTCTGCACTGTTGGCTCTAGATTTCACCAGGTTGATGTCTAGAGTTGAGCATTCCATTACCTTTTAAATGCATGCACCCTCTTCCCTAGCGCTGATAAGGGCTAAATCAAATGTAACTGCAGCTATTTACTGGAGCTAATTTATATTACAAAGAAGCTGGGCTAGTGGTCTTCCCAGTTGATTCTCCAAATTCATTGTAAAGCATTAAAACCATCAAATATTATGCTTAGCCAGCGACTTAAAAGCCATTACAGCTCATAAAAGCAGAGGTGATGGTGTTCCTGTAGTTTTTGTTTCTGTGCTCATTTGGAAATCAGACGCACATCTGATAAAATATACCCCACTCCTCTGTAAACTGCAAGAGCATAGTCCCTACCCAGAGCTCAAAGAAGATTCAACAAGCCTGAAGGCTACCCGCCTTACAAGATCCTGTGGAGGCTAGAGATGTGAAGCTCCACGCCCCCCCCAAAAAACCCAGAAAAATTGGGGGAGCTTGTCCTAATTTTTTATTATTCGTTTCCAAAAACAAACAAACAAACAACCTGGGGAAAAGAAACTTAGGAAAATGTGGAAATCCACCCCCCACATTTTTTTCTTATTTCCCCATGGACCTTCACATCTCTAGTGTAGGCAGAATGGTCAACACAGCTCAGTCCTCCATCGTCTTGTTGCTGCCCCCCAAAACCTGCTGGCTGAGAAGGGCACCTCACTCCACCTACTGGTAGGACCCATAACACTCAGTTCTGAAAACTTTGTGGTAGTTAATGCTTTTGACAAAGACAATTTTGCTATATACATGTCCCTCGCTATTCCTACCTTGTTGCCAAAGACTAGTTAAGGGAGATTTTCCCCCCTTTTGCCAAATGGAGTTTGCTAGACTGATGGAACAAGTACCTTTTTGCATGCCTGCACTGCTCAGAATTGCCGCATTCACTCTGTCTTTCTATACGGTATTGCCTACTCAGGAGTAAGATCTGCTGAGTCCAATGGCACTTTCCCCCAGGTTAGTGGCTGCGATCCTATACCCACTTACCTGGCAGTAAGTCCCATTGAACTCAATTCTATTTGAGTTGCTGCAATAATCGAGCACCACCAAGAAGCCACTCTCAGCTAACTATAGAAAGCATAATCACCCAACAGATCTATATCCCAGCATTATCTTCATCATCACCATCAACAGCAACACATGTGTATCTTAGCTTTCCTTCAAGGAGAGGTGGCATAGATGGTTTTCCTGTTCCCCATGTTGTCCTCACAACCCTGTAAGGTATGTTTGGCTGTGAGGTTGTGACTGGCCCAACATCACCCAGTGAGCTTCATGACTGAGTGGGGATTTGAACATTGGCTTCCAGCTACTAGTTCAAGACTCTAATCACTACACCACACTGATGAACAATGGATAGCTCAGTTGGCTAGAGCGTGGTGCTGATAACACCAAGGTTGCAGGTTCAATCCCTGCATGGGACAACTTCATATTCCTGCACTGCAGGGGCCTGGACTAGACTAGAAAATCCTCAGGGTCCTTTCCAACTCTACAATTCTATGGTTCTATGACTTGGGTGCCTGGAAAGAAATTTTGTCAGATACCCAAGTTATCTAGCTTCTATTTATGCCAGGCTATTTATGCCAGGTTTTGAATTTTGGTCTTGAGAGTCCCATGGACTGCAAGAAGATCAAACCTATCCATTCTTAAGGAAATCAGCCCTGAGTGCTCACTGGAAGGACAGATCCTGAAGCTGAGACTCCAATACTTTGGCCATTTCATGAGAAGAGAAGACTCCCTGGAAAAGACCCTGATGTTGGGAAAGATGGAGGGCACAAGGAGAAGGGGACGACAGAGGACGAGATGGTTGGATAGTGTTCTTGAAGCTACAAACATGAGTTTGACCAAACGGCGGGAGGCAGTGGAAGACAGGAGTGCCTGGCGTGCTCTGGTCCATGGGGTCACGAAGAGTCGGACACGACTAAACAACAACAACATTTATGCCAGGAATGCTATTCATCCTTTTCATTGGTCTTAACAAAGTATTTGCGACAACTTAGGGAATTTAGCAGCACAATCCTAAGCATATTTACCAGAAGTAAACCTCATTGAACTCAAGGGGACTGATTGTCTTCTGACTAGACATACATAGGTCTGCGCTGTAAATGTATGCAGTGCTGCATTTAAATAGCAACTGAGAAAGGGCTTTGGGGGGTTGGAATTCTGAAAACGGCCATTCATATCGATTTACAGGTGCAGGGGGTTTGTGTCTGGGTGCTGCATGCTTTTAGTGGTGGAATATGAAGATGCCGCATTAAATTATGAATGTAAAAGTTAGGCTTTTGTTTCCACTTCCTGAAAATCAGGCAGACTTGCTGATACGGCATTTTTATTATGGTTAGCTGCATTTATTTTGCATCATGTCAACATACATCAAGGGAATCGGTGACCCATTTTTTGAAGGGAAAGAGAGACTCTTCGAGTGCATGTTTTCCCAGGGGTCCTCCCTCTCTGTATCTGTGCCACATTGCTTGCCTTGATTTCTTAGAAGGAAGATGCTCCTGAAGTCTTTGAAGTTCTGAAATTCTAAAGAGCTGAAGGAGTTCAGCAGTTCAGCATAACACATACATCTATGCACAACTTTTTTCTCAAAAGACCACCAGCCATACACATCCTTTCCTTTCCATTCCCTTCCCTTCCCTTCCCTCTTCATCACCCACCAACTCCTCTCCTCCAGCACCCAACTGCTGCCTGCTGCACTCCCTAAACCATACCCTCTAACATTTCTCTGATGATGATGATGATGTTGATGATTCCCCACCCATTTGACTAGGTTGCCGCAGACACTCTGGGAGGCTTCCAACATATATAAGAGCATAATAAAACATTAAACATTTTAAAAACTTTCCTACATAGGGCTGCCTTCAGATGTCTTCTAAAGGTTGTATAGTTAACAACAACAATAACAACAACAACAATTTTATTATTTATAACCCGCCCACCTGGGTGGGTTTCCCCAGCCACTCTGGGCAGCTTACAGCACATACAAAATTGTAAAACATTAGACATTAAAATTTTCCCAATACGGGGTTGCCTTCAGATGTCTTCTAAAAGTCAGATAGTTGTTTATTTCCTTGACATCTGATGAGAGGGCATTCCACAGGGCAGGCGCCACTACCAAGAAGGCCCTCTGTCTGGTTCGCTGTAGCTTCATTTCTCACAGGGAGGTAACCTCCAGAAGGCCCTTGGAGCTGGACCTCAGTGTCCGGGCTGAATGATGGGGGTGGAGATGCTCCTTCAGGTATACAGGGCCAAGGCCATTTAGGGCTTTAAAGGTCAGCACCAACACATTGAATTGTGCTTGGAAATGTACTGGGAACCAATGCGGGTCTTTCAGGACTGGTGTTATATGGCCTTGGCAGCTGCTCCCAATCACCTGTCTATCTGCTGCATTCTGGATTAGTTGTAGTTTCCGGGTCACCTTCAAAGGTAGCCCCACGTAGAGCGCATTGCAGTAGTCCAAGCGGGAGATAACTAGAGCATGCACCACTCTGGCATGTGCTTATCTCCTTGGCTCAGGGGTTGTATAACAGGGAGGGTTGGCTTCTAGTAAGAGCAGGCCAGCAGACAGCCAAATTTGAGGGGCATTTGGATTTAATGGCTGAATACAAGAGAGAATGAAAGGTGATGTGTCGCATGCAAGAGGAGCAGCACCAGAACGAAGCAGATAATGTCGTTTTTGTGCAGTGGCACCATGCATGACAAATCCTCCCATGTCATTAAAAGATATACAAAGTGATTTGCTAGACAATAAGATCTGAGTTCCTAAAAAGCCACCAGTGTCGCAATAGAACTCTGTGTACATTTCCAAGCTAACCACGGCAAATCCCTTGCTGCCCACCTGCACTGGGGTGATTTAAATACTTACAAAATATTAAAGCAAAGCAAGTTAAGCTATGTTCATTAAGCAGTAATCATAGCCTCTGTGTAGAAAGAACCATCAGAGAGTGATTGAAAGGGGAGGGTAATATTCAAAGCTTGGGTTATTATTTTTAATGTCTTAATGTAGCTACATTTTTGTCTCTTCAATTGAAATAAATGACTCCAGACTGTCAGTATTCTGCAGGAAACATTCAAGTGCACAACCAGAAGTTAAGGCTTGCACACTTAAATTGGATTAAAGTGTTCTGTTTCCCTAGAGCAACAAAGGCGTTTTCAAAATTAACTTTTGTGGTTTGGAAAGTGATGGGGAGGTGCATTGATAAGCATGGGGTGAACAAATGAGTGACAGGCAGACGTGTAAACACCCTGCAAGCAAGTGAGAATGAATGCTCATTGTCATATAACTGCCCTGTAAACAAAGCAGAATGAATGCTCGAGAAAGAGCAGACATTGTCCAACCACAAGGCAAGCTTTGGGCAAGCAAATCAGGATGACTCCTTGGAGATGCCCCATATGAAATTGAAATATACTCAGAGTCCTGTAGTGATTTCGTTCTCTTTACTGCAGCTTGTAAAACAGTGACTGAATTGCCCCCCAAACCTCAGGCTTTTATATACATTATTTACACAATGAGTCCCGTCTGATTGGCTGAGTCTGCTTCCTTCCTGGAGCCTGATTGGTCTTTTCCTGCAGGCCAATCAGTTGTTGCATTCTAGGATCCTACCAGCCTAATAGGCTGATTAACTTCTTCCTGGAGCCTGATTGGTCTTCTCCTGCAAGCCAATCAGTTGTTGCATTCTAGGATCCTACTTGCCTATTGTTCTAGGATCCAAGGTTAGTACATAACAGAAATGATCTGGAACATAGGAAGGTGCCTTATACCAGACGATTGGTCCATCTAGCTCATTGTTATATATACATTGACAGGCAGCAGCTCTTCAATATTCCAGTCAGGCGGCTAGCTGAGAT